CTATCTATAGTGACAACAATGTCCGCGTACGGTCCCCCCTCCCCCCTCGTGAAACCCCCCCCTTTCTTGTGATCATTCCCACCGTTTCTGACAGAAACCACCATAGCTATGGAGAGTGGAATCGACAGGCGAAGAACGGAAGGTGTCCTACCTGAGCACACTAGTGAAACATACACAAGCCGTCAATGTCGTTCGGTTCAGTCCAAAAGGTGCGGGTTGCAATCTCTCATGCGGGGAAACGTTTTTTTTCTTTCTTTTCTTTTTTTGTTGTAGCTAACCTCGAAATATTTAGGCGAGATGCTGGCATCTGCTGGAGACGACGGTAACGTACTCCTCTGGGTACCGTCGGAGCTGCAGACCCAGGCTCCACTGGGAGAGGATCGGTCGGATGATAAAGAAACATGGAGGGTGAAGCATATGTGCCGCTCATCTGGAGCTGAAATTTATGACCTTGCGTGGTCCCCAGACGGCGTCTTCATCATTACAGGGAGCATGGACAATATTGCGCGGATATATAATGCCCAAACAGGTATCTTGCTTTTAAATCCATACTCAGTCATCATGCTCCTCCTTTCCGTCAATGGGTTGCTGATCCTTGAAACCCTCAGGACAAATGGTCCGCCAGATTGCGGAGCATTCGCACTATGTTCAAGGAGTAGCCTGGGATCCCCTCAACGAATTCGTGGCTACGCAATCATCGGACAGATCTGTACACATCTATAGCCTGAAGACAAAGGATGGCCAGTTCACACTTACTTCTCATGGCAAGTTTTTGAAGATGGACTTGCCAGCCAAGCGTATCTCAGCCAGCAGTCCCGCACCCCAGGATACCTCTGTCCGGTCGCAGCCGGTGACTGCTAATGCTGCTGCAATCACTTCTCCGGCGCCGTCGACTCCGGGCACGCCAATGGCTAACCTGCCAATGGACCCTCCACCCGTATCCCATAGTCGCAGGTCGTCATTTGGTTCCTCCCCATCGATCCGCCGCTCTGCGTCCCCGGCGCCATCTCTACCATTGCCAGCGGTGAAGCCTCTGGAAGTGCCGTCACCGGGGCTCCTAGGTGGACTGGGTGTCAAGAATGCTAATATCTATGCCAACGAAACTTTTACGTCCTTTTTTAGGCGATTGACTTTCGCCCCTGATGGCAGCTTGCTGTTTACACCGGCGGGTCAGTACAAGACTTCACATATGTCTGCGACAGATCCCACCAAAGCTACAGACGAGATCATCAATACCGTCTACGTTTATACTCGGGCAGGTTTCAACAAACCCCCAGTATCCCACCTGCCAGGCCACAAGAAGCCTTCTGTTGCGGTGAAGTGCTCTCCCATCTTCTATACATTGCGACAGGCCCCCCAACCGGCTCGTCATATTACTTTGGATACTTCTTCTGGAGAGGAAGCATTTGCCTCTCTTCCTGATCCTGTAGTTAATTCGACCACTGACCGTCCATCTATGGAGCCTCCAACATCGGCACATAACGCGGGTGACGCGGCAAAGATCAACCACACCTCAAAGGATGAGAGCCCTTCCACCACTCCAGCACCAATGCCTGTTTTCGCCTTACCATACCGAATCGTATATGCTGTGGCCACTCAGGACTCCGTCTTGGTGTATGATACTCAGCAACAGGCTCCGATATGCGTAGTCAGCAATTTACACTTCGCAACCTTTACTGACTTGACATGGTAAGTCTATTTCCGTGCTCAGACCGTATCGTGATTTAACAATTGATTAGGTCGAATGATGGTTTGACGTTGATAATGAGCTCATCGGATGGCTTCTGTTCTACTCTTACGTTTGCACCGGGAGAGTTGGGTCAGCCCTATACTGCTCCAGTGTCAACCGCTCACCAGACTTCAACTTCTGGCGTACAGTCCACAGGTCATGCACCAAACTCGGCGAAACCAAGCCCGGGAATGGCCCCAGGCAACGCAACTCCAATACCTCCAATGCCTCCGGCAAGCCCTGCGCGGTCTAATTCTGTATCGTCGATTGCTACGCAATCTACTGCTACGCAGCAAGCCACGGGATCTGTTGTCAATAACCCGACACCGACACTCGGATCTGTGCCGTTAGTCACAGCAACGCATTCGTCACAACCACCAACTCTGCCACTTACTACGCCGCCGCAGACACCGATGTCGACCGTCTCTCAGAGCGGGACAAGCACTGTCAACAGTGTTCTAGGCAAGCGAGCCAGCGAGTCTGAAAAAGAGGAAACTAAGGATCAGGATTCTGTTCCACAAGTACAACAGCCGAAGAAAAGACGAGTAGCACCGACTCTCGTTTCTACCGGTCACGGCCCCTCGTCTTCGAAAGATGGTCTCCAGAATACCGACGGTGGCGGCTAATGTTCCTTGTTCCACCGAGCTTCATAAAAAACCTTCCCAGACGGATGTATAAAACTCTGTTCTCTTGCCTACTGAGTCGACTGCGGATGGCTCGAGTGCTTATGATATTTTTGTTATGAGTAATGTGTCCTTTTTTCCTCCGCCCACAAGACTCCGCATCATGTTTACGTCCTGTGGGATTTACCTACCGTGTTCTGGGATCTTGGTAGAGTTTAATAGTCATGCATCTGCCCACTGTTGGCGCTTCACACTTTTTTCTTCTGTTATTCCTTCTATTATTGTTATCCAATCGGCACTCCTCGGGATACCTCTTTGCGGTCTTTTGAACCTCTTCCCGTCGAATGAGCTTGCAGTATTTGGGCATGAGGTCGAATTTATTGGTGTTATTATTCTACGGCTGCCCTTTTTCTTGGGCCTTGCGCTTCATGCTCCGATTGCCCTTTCGTGTGCAAGAAGAATATCGCGTCGGTTGGTGGTGAATGATAGGCTTTTATGATTGTTATCTGAGCAGCCATCTCGATGATTACCTTGTGTAGGTTAGGTGATATTTATTGGGAGCAGAATATTGTTCATGACGGCTACTTTGTTTTGATATCCGATATTTCATGTCATATCATATTTACGTTGATGTACAGCTTAATCCAGTAAGAATTTGAAAAAAAAAAAAAGCATTCTTCTGTCTACTCTAGATACATTACCATTATATCCCTTCCGACTTCGTTTATATTAGGAAACAAAGACTTAGACAAATAATGAAAAACAATGAGAAAGATTGAAATTACACATGTTCCAGGCGAAACCGGAAAAAAAAGGTCATGAGGATATTGTTGGTTGAGTTTGGACTTGAGAATGCTTTCCAAGAAGCGTGGATATTTCAGTGGGCTGCACTGACACCGTTGGTTATGACCCCTTTCAGTCCATTGCGCCCATTCTCGCTTTGGCAATCATGGCAACCGTGCGTTACTGGAGAACACAGGGCATCTACAACGGTTGCCACACTCATATCACTAGGGAGCACGGCTTTAGCCTCAGTAGCATGGACGCCGACGGTAAGGGTGGTAACGCTTGAGACTGTGCCGGCAGATTGCAAGCGGTTTGCCCAGCGGAATAGTGCTTCATCGCCGCGGGAGCCGCCTGCTACAAACAGGAAGTCAGGGACTTGACTTAATTGGCCCACGACGGATTCAGCAGCTTTGGCTTTTGTAATGTCCAAGGGTTCGACGCTCACTGCACCATCTGTAAGAACGATTCGGATGGCTTCACTGCCACGTGTGCCATTGATCTGATCAGCAAGATCGGAGGCCTGTCGGGCAGCAATTTCAGGATCATGAGCGTGGTTATATAAAAAGCTTAGTATGCAGCGGCGCTCTTCCAACTGGCTTCCCTCGGTCCTTTCTTGGTAGTACTGGATGACTTTGCGAATTCCATTCCTCCAGTCTTTGGCCTTCGCCATGTCTACCAACGCCCGCCACTGAGTTTGTCCAATGTCACGTACGAAGCAGCCATTCTCGGCGATCAGTCCAACTCGACTGGAAACTTCTTTAAGCCTAGATTCAAGCTGTTCTGGGCTCTTGTTACTAGTCACGTAAACTTTGTTTTTCGGGTCAAGGAGCAAGCGGTCCAGGAGAGAGCCCAATTCAAAGGAAGACTTTGAGTCATCAGATTGGAGGACACCATCGTCCTCGAGGAAAAAGAGCCGTGAGTTGGATTTTTCGTATGATTCCTCTAATTTGTGTACTGAGAGAGACGAGACTTGACTGAGCTCACGAGATAACTGCGTGCTGTGAGCCTTGTGGAGAGCTGTCTGAAACGACTTGTACCACGCGATAGCAGTACAGGATGCCTTTTTTTCAAGCAGATATTCCCAATTACGCTGTTTCTGATCTGGTGACATCTCAAGCGCCTTGTGGATTGTATCTGCAACTTCTCTGTAGTCCCATGGGTTGACAAGTAGTTCGTGGCCACCGAATATAGAAGCGCTCCCAGTGAATTCACTAAGGATGAGGGAGCCATGGCGCTGGGACGCAACTTTTCCATCTTGACAATGGAGGTAATCGTGACTTGTAAGGTTCATGCCCTCCCTCAGGCTTGTCACCATGAAGATGTCAGCCACGCTCATCAGAGCCAAAAACTGCGAGTAGCTAATATCTTGTCTTAAGAGTACGAGAGGTTGATGTGTTAATGTCGAATAAGTAGAATTTATCCTCATGGCAATCTTTGAGACTTGCGCCTCCAATTCAGGCAGCTCTGACGCCGAAGCGACTTGAACGAGGACAACCTGAGTCTGTTAGCATACAAGGCCTAGGGTAGATGGAAAGGCTCAGTCCAAACATACACTATCTCTCCACTTCGGGTATTTTTTCAAGAATAGCTCATAAGCTAATAACTTCTGCTTGATACCACCAGGTGCATCAAGCCTATCTCGAGCGACGATCAAACGTTTCCCACTGTACCTGGAGATTATGTTTGCAATCCAATCCTTCACCTCGGCTGTCTGGCGTAGCTCATCGAGTGCTTGAAAATCGATCCCGATAGGCAAACGTTTCACGTGGACGAAACGCTGTGGAAGTTGGACTCCATCGACGGATACCTCCAAACTTAGAAGTCGACTACATGACTGAAGAAAGTGATAGCAATACTCGTCTGTCTGGAAAGAAACGAGATCAGCTCCCAGAAGACCGTTAAGTAGAGCACCTCGTGCATTGATACACCTGAAGATCTCGGAAGAGGGGAACGCAGCATGCATGGAGAAGCCGATCTCTGCGCCTGGTAGCTTCTCCCGGAGCAACGCAGGCAGGAGTAAAAGATGATAATCATGAATCCAGATACTATCGCCAGGGCGCCAGCACGACGCGATGGTGTTTGCAAATGCTTCGTTTACTTTCACGTATTGCTTCCAGGAGTAGTCGTCGTACTGGGTGTGCCGGGGGCTTTCCTGCATCTGATAATGGAAAGCTGGCCAAAGGACTGCGCGACAAAAGTGCGAGTAGTGCCCTTCAAACTCCTCATCGCCGACAAAGACTGTGAGGGAGTTGTAGTTATCCTCGAGCGTCTCTCCGATTCTGGCGCGTGTTTCATCTTTCAAAGAGTCGGTTGGCATACCCAGAGTGCCTACCCACATCTTGTCCGACAGAATGCCTGCTCTTTCAGCGGCATTGACAGCATTTCGCATACCGCCATTGCCCTGTTCAGCTGATTTGACAACCCAGTCCTGGCCACAAAGTAATGCGCGCGGACTTCCAGGGTCCTCTTCCGAATCTGGTGTCTCTAGGACTCCATCAACGTATAATGGCTCGTCATACCCGTCCCCTGGGTTTGGACGGCTCAGGATCGACGGCTCAGGGGGACCAGTAGCCTTGGAACGAGGCTGGTTGAATTTGCGACTCTGACCCCAGGAAACAACGCGAGGTTCGCTGGGCCCCGGGCCGTAGGGGTCATCCGCGGAAGCAATCTCGCCTGCAGCACGCGAGATGTAAGGTTTGAAGATCTTCTCATCTTCCGTTGTAGCGCCGGGGGTAAGCGATAAGCTGTAACCCCTCGAGTGACGTCTCCGTCGCGCTTCAGCTAGCCGTCCTACGATCCGGTCATCTGAATGAGAATAGCTCGTAGATGACTTCCGGCGATGCCTGTATTCTGTGGCGCGGAAGTCAATCGTATAGGGGAGGAACCTATTGAAACCGATCAGATACCATTTCCACCAGATGGTTGAGAGAGTGGGAACGTGTAAGATGACTTACAGCGAGACAAGAAAGACCGTCATTGATTAGACGTTCCGAGAGTTGAGGACCTCTCTACCAGTGTTTGAAGGAAGAATCTAATAGTGTATGTATCCACTATTCAAGAAGAATATAATAAATAGATTAAGGTTGGTATGTGCAGTCGAATGGTCTGCAATGAGACTTGGAACATCTGTGTTTTCCGGGCCAAGGGATGTTGAAGGTTGAAGGACCAAGTCTACATTCTATATGTTTTGCAAACCAATGGAAAAGCAATCCTGAAAATTCCGGCGGGAAGTTAGACAGCCGAGAAGCATAATGAATGACCCAAGGAATGACAACCGTTACGATTGGACCATGGAAATCGCGAGGTTGTGAGAGAGCAGGTGAAAGAGAAAAAGAACATTCTGGGCTTTTCGAGGGGACGAAACCAAGAGCACGAAAAGCAGGTGATGGATGCCTCAAAGGAGGGGTATTCTCTCTGCCTTGGGCGTGACTCGGGCGCGGGGCTCATGAGATGGAATCATGGAATTGAGGCTATTGGTTTCACAACGTGACCAACCGCATCAGAAAAAAACAGAACCTGCCTGGAAACGTGAGAATAGTTCGTTCAAGCTGTCCTGGACTGTTGTTCACTGTCCAATCGTACCCATGACGTCTTGATTCCCGGGTTGATCCGCGGTTCGGTTTTACCCACTACGCTAAGATAGCGTTAGGCGATGATTCTCGACAGTTCGACAAGTCTAGACCCACCGGCGTTTTCTATCAATCAAGGAAAATGTCCTGCAAGAGCGAAGCACATGGAACCTGACGAGAGAAGTCAGTCGGTCGTAAGGAGTTGGTTATCCCACCTGAGAATTGCGGGAGAATTAGGCAGGAAAAGGGCCACCATGGGAGATAACAGGAGTTCGAAGGGGAGATGAAGAAAGACAAGAAGAAAGTGGATACTTGCTGGATCACGGCATCCCGTGAAGAAAGGACCTTAAGCCTGTTTTGGGCGGCAGAAGACAAAAGACTCAAACAAGACAATTCGAACCAAACCTGGCATCACGAGTCATTCCTTTTCCGAGTGTTGATATCGATCGATCAGGTCATCACTTGTTCCCCACCCCGGTGGTATCCACGCTCCCAGATACCTCATCTCATAATATAATACTATCTTCGTAACCCTATCTACAAAACTCTAATTGATTCTTCTCTCAAATCTTCTGTTCTGCTTCCACGTCGGATACCCCTCTCGAGTTCTCTCTCTCTCTCTCTCTCTCTCTCTCTCCCAATCTCTCTCTCATGGCTTCCACCGACTCATCGCTGGGCGACTCACGCCTGCTGATCGTTTCCAATCGCCTTCCCATCACTATTAGACGATCTGGGAATGGCAAGTATGAATTTTCGATGTCTTCCGGTGGACTAGTGACCGGATTGAGTGGTCTGTCTAAGACAACAACCTTTCAATGGTACGGATGGCCAGGATTGGAAGTACCGGAGGATGAAGTCCCTTCTGTGAAACAAAGACTCAAAGACGAATTTGGCGCAACTCCGGTGTTCATGGATGACAAACTAGCGGATCGTCACTACAATGGCTTCTCCAGTAAGTGCTTTCCCTCAAATTCCGGCGCCAGTGTCAGGCTTACAGCCACCTCCACCTTAGCTGGTGCCCTAGCAGTGGGACCGTGCTAATATGACTCACTAGACTCGATCCTTTGGCCTCTATTGCACTACCATCCTGGTGAGATTGTGTTTGATGAGGGTGCCTGGGATGCCTACCGTGAGGCAAATCTTCTATTCGCCAAAACCATCGCTAAGGAAGCCCAAGAGGGTGACCTAGTCTGGGTGCATGATTATCATCTCATGCTTCTTCCGGAATTGCTTCAGGAGCAACTTAGTCTCCTGGGAAAGAAGAATATTCGGATTGGATTTTTCCTTCACACACCATTCCCCAGTAGTGAAATCTACAGAATCCTGCCCGTTAGAGCCGAACTTCTGCGAGGTTTGCTGCATTGTCACTTGATCGGTTTCCATACCTATGACTACGCGCGTCACTTCTTAAGCAGCTGTGCTCACATACTGTATGTATAACAAGAACCTTCTCTACCTGAGTATGCACCAGCTGACAGGTCACTCTAGCGGATTGGTGACGACCCCTAGCAGCGTAAAATATGAAGGCAGGTCTATCAATGTTGGGGCTTTCCCCATTGGAATTGACCCAGACAAGTTCACTGAAGGCTTGAAGAGCCCGAAGGTGCAAAATCGCATCGCGAGTCTGGAGAATAAATTCCAGGGAACAAAATTGATGGTCAGCGTTGACCGCCTGGATTATATCAAGGGTATCCCTCAGAAGTTACATGCCCTGGAAGTCTTTCTCCAAAACCATCCAGAATGGGTTGGTAAGGTCGTCCTGGTTCAGGTGGCTGTCCCAAGTCGTCAGGATGTCGAAGAATACCAGAATTTAAGAGCGGTAGTAAATGAGCTAGTGGGCCGAATCAATGGCAAATTCGGTAAGCCACGTCTTTGTAACACTCCTACGACAGTCCCACACTAACCAGAACAATAGGAACGGTGGACTACATGCCTATACATTTCATGCACAAGTCGGTGAGCTTCGATGAACTCATTGCTTTATATGCGGCATCAGATGCCTGCGTTGTCTCTTCGACTCGCGATGGAATGAATTTGGTATCCTTCGAGTACATCGCAACTCAACAGAAGCGCAAAGGCGTTCTCATCTTGTCTGAATTTGCCGGTGCTGCCCAAAGCCTCAACGGAAGCATTGTTGTCAATCCATGGAACACCGAAGAGCTGGCAGAGGCGTATCATGAGGCAGTTTCAATTAGCAAAGAACAGCGCGCCGTTCAATTTGCAAAGCTCTACAAGTATATCTCGAAATACACAAGGTATGCCTACACCCGGTTAGGATCGTTTTTTTTTTTTTTTGGTAATACTAACATTGCGTAGTGCTTTCTGGGGTCAGTCGTTTGTGGCCGAGATGTCTCAATGCTCATCTTGATATACTACAATCTATCTTTCCTTCGTTATCTTCAGTCTTTCTGGGTACAGTCAAGCGTGACGGTTATGTTTCTTTTCGTGATGGCATAGCATTCGATTCTAATACATAGATCTAATGACGTTCTGACGAGGCTTAGCAACAGTTATATGTTTAATTCAGCTTAGATAGCCGTAATGACAGCGGCCGGGTGTTAGCGGTAGTCATACTATAAATGAATACACGAATCAATCCTTTGTGTTGAACTCATAATTCCGAAGGCTTCAATATCTCAAGCCAAGTGCAACCACTTAGATAGGAGTAGGAAAGGATAGAGCAACATGGATTTCCTGAAACCTAGCTATAGGAGCTATAGACATTATCCCCTTAACGGCACCGACAATTTATCCCACCGATATAACTACAGCCAAGCATCCACATTTTTCTTAACAAAATTGGCGAAAGACGTTGGTTTAGCGTCAAGCAACTTCAAGCTCTCATCCAAGGTTTGCCCAAGAAAATACCCAGGCGACTCAATCAGTAGATGATTCTCGAGAAACTCCTGAGCCACGGGTGGCGGAAGAACCGCTTTATATTGATCGGCGGATACCGACACAAAGACAGCCTGCTTTCCTGTTACCTCAGTAAAGATTTTCACAATCTCTTCGGCGGTATAGTAGCCGGCGGCTTCGAGAACCTGCTTCCCGTTAAGCTCAGAAGCATGTTTAATGACGGATTTGACGAAAAGCCCTGATTATTGTTAGATACACTCAAAATCTTCTTTAGCTTCCCAGGACCAGCAGAATCAAACTTACCGGTATCACTCGCGGCATCGAACAGAGGAAACTTAGCCTTAGCACCATCAACAGGGTAGAAAAGCTGATACGTGCCATCATCGCCCTTTTTCAGCATTTGCAGGTAATTGAGCATGAAGTAACCCGCAAGGACGAAAGTGCAGGGAACACCCGAAGCACGGATGTATCTTTCTATTTCAGCCTTGCCATCGAAATGGGGTACATGGCTGAGTCGCCCACCAGTGGAGTCGGTAACGTGAACAAGAGAAGAGAAGATCAGGTGTTGGACGCCGAGCTCTTTGGCTACATCGGCGACGTTCTTGCCCTGGGTGACTTCGGTGTCCTTGTCGACGTATTCCCAGTAGTTAGTTACTAGGAAGATGGTGTGGGATCCATTGAGAGCTGTGCGGAGGGAGTCGACGGAGTTCAGATTAGCCTGTGTGAGGTTAGTTATGAGCTTTGCAGGCTCGACCGAGCCAATGCAGGGTTTGCAGACTGACGGTAACGACCTCCACTCCACGCTTTTGCAGCTCCTGGGCTGCGGGCTTGGTGGTATCGCGAGTGATGCCTCGAATCTTGAAATCTTTGGATAGCTGAGGATCAGCCAGAATATGATTAATTACGGAGCCGCCCTGATTGCCAGTGGCACCGAAGACAGTAATCAGCTTGGACATGTTGGAAGTAGTTCTCGTGGACTGATGATTGTTGAGAGTGTTGGATATCCAGCACTCGTATGGATTGCTATCAGTTTCCAGGGCTTTGGCGTTTTTCCCCCTGATCAATCAAATTCTGGCCCAACGGCATAAATTATTCGCAGTCTTATATATCTATTTTTCCTACATTATATGTCCTATGTTCTTGGATACCTATGTCCTTGTAGTAGATATCTAGACCCGGGGATCCTATTGGCTGGAGGAGTTCGTCAGCTTTCTGGCAATGCCGAACATTAGTCACCTCGGGTTTGCGGGGTCCGAGCTGATTAATGCTGCGCCACAAAATGCTATGGTAACATCGTAGCATCGACAGTCGATATGCATTACGCGCCATGCGTTGTTTGGTATCTCAGGATGCTTCAGTAAGACGGAGTTAATAAGACCGAGATACGGAGTACTCGGAGTACTGTATTAACCTTTCACCGCTTACCCTTCGTTCTTTTGCTTTGTATTCTTGGTTACTCTGGACTATCCGACAGATCCTCAGCGATCGACATTCTCTTTCGAGTTATACGGTAGTTTATGTCTATCATTACATCATGATTATTATCCCGTTAGATTTACACTGGAGTAGGTCAATGTCTACCTTAAATGGAAGCTTCACGGCACGCTAATGGATAGTTGTAAAGGTGCTACATAAAAGTAGTCCTATCAAGATTGCGGGGTTAACACCACACGATTTTCATGCAGGAGGTCTGATCACTGCAATACGGTCGGTGAACTTTGCTCAGTGTTGACCTTTCAATCCTCTAACGTAGTTCAGAGACATACATCTAGATGTCTTGACTGTCCCGAGTCATTGATTGGGTTACAAAAACACATGATAAGATAGGGTTATATCACGAAGTCTATCGGTCGGAGAGGTCAGAAACGTGGACTGATGTAGTCGTGAGATAATATGGACATCATCCGGGGGGGGGGGAAGATGTGCCATATACTTCCCCTGTAGAGAAGTGCTCCGCATTATAGGAAGTTACTGTCCGTCGTACCAAGGGTAAGGGTACGCGGCTTGTGGCCAGGAATGACGTGGGCGTAGCATATCCCGTCTCAACAAGCAACTTCCCACCATTGTGTCAGTTTCTCAAAGCGAGAACCAAGCCAATGATACTGATAATCGACCACTGTGAGTTTACGGAGTAGTGATGGACAATGGCCACCGCGTACGAGTACCCCTGTGAGACGTTGTCGAATCCACTCGGCGCAGAATGCAATTAACTTCTTTCAGCGGGAATTATGCTTCACACAGGTTCCCACTGGCAAGCCGATGGACCGTGATTTTTGCTTCAGTAGGCATGGGAAATCGATAATCACGTTTTCCAGACCGCTATGGAATGCGGATCTCCCAGTAGTTCGAGGTCGGTTTGGTCAAGCCTCACTTACCCGGGAGATGGCATGCTTTCTGTGGCTTGGTCATGGACCAGGTTCCACCGTCCTCGTCGGACAAACACTCTCAATCATGCTACTCCTCTGTATTATTATCTTGTCGTTCAACATTGAGCATGGATTTCGCGGCGCTAAATACGGGGTACGAACTGTAGATCAAGACATTAGGGGGGAGGAAGAATAGAGAGGGTGACTAGGGATTGGACCCTGAACCCGGGGGACGGGAAAGTCAAAAAGTCAAAAAGGGAAAAGCAGAGGGAGAATCGTCAAAGAAAGCTTCCAAGAGCGGATGAGGTATCCATGCCAAGCCCCCTGGGCAGCCAGGGTCTGGGACTAGGCTTTCTTGTCACGTCTGGTCATCCGTCAGAAAGGGGTCTAGTAAGGTGGATCCCTGGGCTGCTCTAGCCAGATCTTGTCCTTCTGCCAAGGCGGACGCTTGCGCGTCTCCGCCACTATCTTGGAAGACTGCCGTAATCCTGTAACACCGAGTCGTTTGGCACTTATTTTCCGAATCGAGTTGGAAATGGGTTCAGTTATGCCCTAGAACCCGGTCGAACTTGTCCCCAGGTATGTACACTCCTACATGCATACATACATGATTGTTGTAAAAGTCCTTGTTGAGAAAAGATCTTGTTATGTTGGTGGCAATTCACGGAGAGGGGCTTTTCGAAGACACAGCATACATTTAACAACTGTCAATCAAGTGGAGATGTATTCATCAGAGTGCAGAAAGCCGCGTATGCACTTGGCTTAGGGACACAGCAGGTCCTTCTATATGTACTTACAGCGTGTGTTATACAGTTAACAGCCAATATTGTAACCCAAAAGCATGAGGAAAGGAAAGAAAGGTAATTTTAAAAGAATTTCGATTAAGCTCAGCAATTAGGGATCATACCCCCTTGATTTTGAAGTGTGGCTCTCATCAGAAGATCACCATGACCATCGCCTTACCAGTTGTACTGACTTAACTGGCTAGCTAGCTGGCGTGGCACAGACCTGATTGCTTGTCCCTAGACTATGTAGATGATGGCGTATGTTTATGGGGGAAACATTTTTTTTTTCCAATGGTTTTTCCAATGGTCGTTCAACTATTAAGACATCTTTGGCTGGCTCAATATTGGGATTATTTAAGATCATATCTATATTATATCCACAGCTGATAATTCGTCAGCAAAGGAGGGGAGCGGGTACTCAAGCTAGAGGCTGTGGTTGAGAATTTCTTCTGGTGATGGGTCATGACATTCGTAAGGCTACGGTTCAAACCGCCCTTTTGAATTTCCTGATTGATCTAGAAGAGGGTCCATTTTGCCCTCTTTCTTGCCCTCAGAAAGGATGATAATTGTCGGGTTCCCCAAGTTTAACGCCGAGTGTGCCGAGAGGGTTCCCCCGAGCGTTCTCTAAATGACACCGCGTGCTGTCTAACGTGCACGGTTGCGCATCCTAAGTATACGATGGTGACATTTTTAGTCTGTTGATCAGAGAGCCGCGTAAGACCGAGCTGACGTCTAGACGAGGTCATTTGAGCTGTACCACCATATGGAGAAAATGAGTCTTCTATGAACCCCTCTATGGATTGAAGTTGGACTGCATGTACTGTACGTATCACAAGCAGCAGGTGATAACAAGTTGGGGTTTATCAAAGACCAGGTGGATTGCGTAGTCATGTATGTCGAGTCGCAGGGGATGAGACCATCCAGAAGGATAAAATTCCACGCGGACAAGGCCAAGCTTTTAAGAGATTCATCAGCATACTCCTCAGCCGGTGGAGAGCGATAGCGATATTGTCCATCAGATGCGAATGAAAATGCGTCTCAAAAGCTTCCCGTTCATCAAGTTAGTGGAGCTTGACGTCTATCCTCGTGAAATCCTGTCAAGTTTGTCGGGATAAGCCGTTGGGAGGGTTGGAGATGACAACCAAATTGATTGCCGTGCCAAGAGAAGGTGGAAGATACAAGAGGTGGTAAATGTGTATTGCCAAATCCTTTGGGGCACAGAGCGTTCTACGGATGGAAACAGTTTAGTCTAGCGGGCAGCGAAAGGGTCTTGGCCATGGTTCAGTTAACTGTTTCGGGGCGGCACACACGCGGCTTGCGGTGCAAATGCTGCACCCTGATTGGGGCAATGACCCCAAGGCTGACGACGCTTCGCCCTCACTGCTGGCGTGGAAAAAAGACCAATGACCTGAAAATTCATCAACTAGTAGTAGTTTAGTTGCGCTTCTCTCTCTTCCTCTCTTTCTCCCTCTCCACTTAGACTGACGACCCTCTCATTCTTCCTCCCTCCCTCTCTCTCTCTCTCTCTGTCTCCCTTTTGGGATCTTCTCTCCTCTCTCTCCTCTAGGTATATCGTTTTTCTTTTTTGAATTTGATTTGATTTTTTTTATTTTCCCTTTTTTTTTTTCGCACCTAATTAATTCTTTTCCCCTCAGCTTCACTTGCCTGAAGCTTCTTTTTTTGTTTTTCCTTCTAATTGTATTGGCCAAAACGACAAGTGAACAATCACTTTCTCTCGTTATTCCATTTTCACCCTTTGTGGTTGTCGTAAGTCGCGGACACGACTACGTTGACCAGCGCCAAGCGTGGCGACCGCTTAGTTGGGCTGTGCGACCATTATACCCTACGGACTGACCTCACTGACCATCATTCTTCTTACTTTACCTACACGACTGACTCGACCCAACAACATCCACGCTCACCCTTTTCCCATCCTTCATTCTCTCTTTCTCATTTCGATAAGGGAGAAAAGGATTATCAACATTCATCACTGAAGGGAGTCATTGAGGATTTATTCAACCTGGAGTGTCAAGTCCGACCGATCGCCGTTGGTGCCCTTCACCCCCCTACCACACACCACCATGGCCGACAGCATACACCACTCACAACGGGCGCAAGGCTCGAACAACTTTGATGCCTCCGAGCTCACCAACGCTTTCGAGCAACTGATGCGTAATAAGAGATTCCATCGTCTCCAGGAACACTCGAGGGCTCGTACTCATTCTCCATCGCCGTCTCCGTCTCAGGTGTCTTCGCCTGGGCCTTACGCACCACCTCATCCCTCGCGAGCACCACCACCACCTCCGCCGACCGCAGCTCCTTTTCAGCCACCCCAATACCCACCACAACCGCAACAATACCCATCAACTCAATCTTCAATGCTGCAGGGGCTACCAATTGTTCCATCGCCGCCACAGGATCAAGCGTCGTTGAAATTCCGCAATCTCCTCCACGTCCTGTCTGTAACACCGACCAAATATGAGAACCCGGGTCTTCTCGATGAAGCCCTCTCCCTTATCCCACTCGATCGGTTATATTCAGAGGCAGAGGAGGAGAGTCAGATCTTGCAGGCACAGGCGGCTAGCGTTGGTGGCAGACCCGAATGGGGATACCAAGATTGTGTTATCCGGTCTCTCCTGAGGTGCGTTAATAGCATGTCTATCTGTTAGATATATCATTAATTATGACCCATAAATGCTAACCACGATCTTCACAGATGGTTCAAAGGATCGTTCTTCCAATTTGTCAACAACCCCCCTTGCTCACGGTGCTTTCGGCCTACAATTGCCCAGGGCAATACACCACCTTTACCCGATGAGACCGCTCGCGGTGCAACACGAGTAGAACTTTACCGATGCTCTGAATTGTCTTGTGGCGCCTACGAGAGATTCCCTCGCTACTCCGATGTTTGGCAACTACTACAAAGCCGCCGGGGCCGTGTAGGCGAATGGGCCAATTGTTTCAGCATGTTCTGCAGAGCCCTTGGTGGCCGTGTACGATGGGTATGGAATTCAGAGGACTACGTCTGGACCGAAGTGTACTCTGAACATCAGAGGCGCTGGGTGCATGTAGATGCCTGTGAGGGGGCATGGGATCAGCCCCGTCTCTACGCTGAAGGTTCGTGTTCCACAACCGACTTGCTCAGCATTCAAACTAACGGTTGTTCCAGGCTGGGGCCGAAAGATGTCCTATTGCATTGCATTTTCAATTGATGGCGCCACCGATGTCACCCGCCGATATGTACGAAGCCCGGCGAAGCATGGAGCATCACGGAACCGCGCTCCTGAAGAGGTCGTGCATTGGGTGATTCTGGAAATCCGAAGGAAGCGTCGGGAGAACCTCTCCAAGACCGACCAAAAGCGTCTGATGAAGGAGGATGAGCGCGAGGAAAAAGAACTTCGCCATTACACAGCTTCTGCCCTTGCTGCAGAGTTGAACAACCTTCTCCCACAGAACCAAACAACCGGTAGACTGGACGAGCAAAAGACTCCTGTCTCGCGGCAGGATGCAGCTGCAGAGTGGCTTGCCGCTAGACAAAGAAACTCTGGTCATTCTGGTCCTGATCACTCTCAGGGTGGACGGTAGCACTGCATCTATTTCAGAGTGTCTACAATCAACTCATCGTCTTGCGAACCGTCGCCCAGGCTCAATCCACTGACGGCCGATTGACAACCAACACGAGATCTTCGACCGATAAGACGATACAACGTGATCAATGTGCTTCGATGCTTGACTTTCGATAAACGCACGATACACGATGGATTCAGCTAGCCTGTTATAGGATTTATATTCGACATTACACGTGCACAGCTCATCATAGGGTAGATCAACCCGTGCTGGTTACAGTGCATTGATCCTATGCATTCCAAAATGAATTGTCTACCGGTCGGACGCCCTCCCCCCTCACTCAGGGTGAAGGGTCTGTCTCATCTACAACTTGCTAGGACCGATGTCCAGCATTACATTGAAACCAAACTCTTTATCTCACGGACTATATGATTCGTGACTTATACCCAGACAATCCTTGGTTACAAGTACAATACGTCTCTTTTGTGGTCATTGACCTACACAATACCCACATCTCAATTTTTCTTTGGTTCATATCCACACATTCTTTGTCGAATCTCGACTCTCTTTTTACTTTTCCTTTATTTTTTTTTTCTTTCTTTTTTACCTTTTTTTCTTACTTGATTTCATCATGACGGGCATCTCAGGAAATAAGGCATTAATTGGATATTTTGTTTTATGGGGCACTCGGCAGGGGTTTGAAAGGCGTCTTCTGATAATTTTAATCTCTCTTCTAATTCCCTTTTTTTTTTTTTTCTTGCTCTTTATTTTGGCCGATGTGCCAAGACTGGAGTCGGCCAGTCAATGCCATGTTGTATGAGAACACGGATGCTTCGGTCGCATGTCGGCTTCGACGAAATAGCATCTTTTCAATTTCCCTTTTTGTTCTGACTCCTGGCGATCTCAGATCCTCTTGTCAAATAAACCAGTTCCTTGACCAGCGAAAACAACGCATCCATTCCTAGATGGGAATCGAGAACTACCGAAGGTTGAGTCCAGTGCATCGTTTCTTGGTCGTAGTAAGACAAGGGTCAAGACACCAACAGATGATCATGCCGACATTCCACCACAAAACATTAGGTAAATTACAATTAAACGAGGGAAAGAAAGAAAATAAGATCCCCACCAACCACGAAACCTCCAACATCCAAAAACGGATCCCTCATAAAACTTCCAAGTGTCAAACGAAGATGGACGCCCCCAGAAATAAAAAGAAGAAAAAAATTATAATAAATTAATAAAAATAAAGAAAAAAAACAGAAAAGAAATAAAGACAGGGTCCAAAATCAGTCCCGACCCAAGGAAAGCACAAATCCGAGACAGCAGAAAGACACCAAATAGGCAAGACGGAGAAACCCACTAGACCCTGGGCCCCATTACAAGTTTAATTACGATATGCAAAATCCCAAGCCGTGATCCGTCAAATCGAACGTCCCTAATCCCCCGCGATTGAGAGCGGGTCCGGTCGGCCACGTCGGTCCCTGGACTAGGCGCCGGTGGCCTCTTGTTTTACGGAGTACGTACTAGTAGTACTATATATAGCTATATATAGAAATGCGATCTGCAATGCGCCGGTTCGTTTTGGGATGTGGTCACCTGAGACCGACCAGATTGAAAGGGTTTCGCGTCCGAAAGTGGTTCTTATTTATATTTATTATTATTTATTTTTATTTTTCTTTCTTTCTTCAATCTTGCTATACTGTTATACTGTGTAGGATGCACACGGCTACTTGGTTGAGTTTTTTTTTTTTTTTTTTTT